CCCTGGAATGAAATTTCTTAAGTTTCTTGATTTTTTTAAGACATAAAACAATGCCTTAGACAGCCTACTACATGAGATACCTCAGTGAATATATGTCTGACTTATGTGATTGCTCAGGCTAAGCCTTGGCAGAGAGAATTACCCTTGTAGAATTTAACTACACTCACAAAAATCATAGGCAATAGGTAATACCACATTACCAATCCCATCCCCCACAAGATACAAACACACAATACCACCACCACCACCACATCCAACATTAACAAGAATCAACAATCATTGGTCATTAATATTCCTTAATATCAATAGTCTTAATTCACCTATAAAAAGACACAGGCTAACAGAATGGATAGGAAGACAGAATCCATCCTTCTGCTGCATACAATAAATATACCTAAACTTCAAAGACAGACATTACCTTAGAGTAAAGGGTTGGGAAAAGATTTTCCAATCAAATGGACCCAAGAAACAAGCTTGTATAGCTATCCTAATATCTAACAAATTAGACTTTAAACTAAAATCAATCAAAAGATCTAGATGAAGGTCATTCCCTAGTTATCATAGGAAAAACCCACAGTACAAAGTCTCAATTCCGAACATCTATGCCCCAAATACAAAGGTACCCACATTTGTAAAAGAAACATTACTAAAACTCTAATCACACATAAAACCCCACACACTTATAGTGAGAGATTTCAACACCCCACTCTCACCACTGGACAGGACTACCAGACAGAATGTTATTAAAGAAATAAAAGAACTAACAGAAGTTATGACTCAATTGGGTTTAACATCCAAACTCAAAATCATATACCTTCTTCTCAATGCCATATGGAACCTTCTCTAAAATCAACCACATACTTGACAATAAAGCAAACCTCAGAAGATACAAAAGAATTGGAATAACCTCCTGTATTTTATCGAATCACCATAGTTTAAATTTTGAATTCAGCAACAACACAAATAGCAGAAAACCTATAATCTCATGGAAATTGAACAATGCCAAATTGCATCACTCCTAGATCAAGGAAAAAAATAAATTAATTAAAGACATTCTAGGATTCAGTGAGAATGAAGACAAACCATACTCAAACTTATGGGACACTTTGAAAGCAGTGCTATGAGAAAAGTTCCTAACACTAAGTGCCCACATAAAGAAACTGGAGAATACTCTCACTACAGAATTAACAGCACACATAAAAGCTTTAGAACAAGAAGCAAACTCACTAAGGAGGAGTAGATGCCAGGAAATAATAAAATTGAGTACTGAAATCAATAAAATGGGAACAAAGAAAACAGTACAAAGAATCAATGAAACAAAGAGTTGGTTCTTCAAGAAAATCAACACGATGGATGAACCTTTATCCAAAATAACCAAAAGGCAGAGAGAGAATCCACAAGTTAGCAAAATCAGAAATGAAAATGGGGACATAACAATGGACACTGAGGAAATCCAGAGAATCATCAGATCATACTTTGAAAACCTTTACTCCACAAAATTCAAAAATTTAAAGGAAATGAACAATTTTCTGGATAGGCATCACTTGCCAAAATTAAATCAAGAACAGAAAAGAAATTTAAATAGATCTCTAACCACTAAAGATATAGAAGCAGTCACCAAAAGTCTCCCCACACCCCCCCAAAAAAAACAAACCCAGGGCCAGATGCTTTCAGTGCAGAATTCTACCAGAAATTCAAAGAACTAATACAATAGTCTTCAATTTTTTCCATTTTTTCACATAATAGAAGCAGAAGGTTCATTACCAAACTCTTTTTACAAGGCTATAATTACCTTAGTACTCAAGCACACAAAGACATAAGTAAGAAAGAGAACTACAGACCAATTAATATCCCTCATGAACATTGATACAAAAATACTCAATAAAATACTGGCAAATTACATGTAAGGATTAGAAAAATCATCCACCATGATCAAGTAGGTTTCATCCCAGAGAGGCAGGGATGGTTCAACATATGAAAATCTGTCAATGTAATCCACCATATAAACAAACTGAAAAAAAAAAACCACATGATCATATCACTAGATTTTGAAAAAGCCTTTGACAAAATCCAATACCTCTTCATGAGAAAGGTCTTGGAGTAATTGGGGATAAAAGGAACATACCTAAATATAATAAAGGCAATATACAGCAAGCCAACAGCAAACATCAAACTAAATGGAGAGAAACTCAATGTGATTCCTCTAAAAAGGAACAAGACAAGGTTGCCCTCTCTCTCCATATCTATTCAATATTGTACTAGCTAGAACAATCAGACAACAAAAGGAGATCAAGGGGATGCAAATTGGAAAGGAAGAAGTCAAACTTTCACTATTTGCAAAGGATATGATAGATGATAGTTTATATAAGTGACTCCAAAAATTCTACCAGGGAACTTCTATAGCTGACAAACACCTTCAGCAAAGTGGCAGGATACAAGATTAACTCAAAAAAATCAGACGCCCTCCTATATAAGACAATAAATGGGCTAATAAGGAAATCAGAGAAACATTACCCTTTACAATAGCTACTAATATCATAAAATATCTTGGACTAATACTAACCAAACAAGTAAAAGGCTTGTATGACAAGAACTTAAAGTGCTTAAAGAAAAGATTAAAGATCTCAAATTGGAAAGATTTCCCATGCTCTTATAAAGGTAGGATCAACATAGTAAAAATGGCAATCTTACCAAAAGCAATCTACATATTTAATGCAATTCCCATCAAAATTCTAGCACAATTCTTCACAAACCTTGAAAGAACAATACTCAGCTTTTTATGGGGGGGGGGAAGGATACCTAAAACAACCCTATATAATAATGGAACCTCCAGAGGCATCACCATCCCTGACTTCAGACTTTAAGCTCCACTATAGAGCTATAGTAACTAATGAAAACAGCTTGGTATTGGCAAAATAACAGACATGTGGACCGATGGAATACAATTGAAGACCATGATATAAATCAAAACGCCTATAAACATATGACTTGTTTTTTTTTTAAAAAAAGAAGATAAAATTATACAATGGAAAAAAGAAAGCATCTTCAACAAATGGATGCTGACATGTATATGATTGCAGATAGATCCATGTCTATCCCCAAGCACAAACCTTAAGTCCAAATGGATCAAAAACTTCAACATAAATCCAGCCACACTGAACCTCTTAGAAGAAAAAGTGGGAGGTACCCAGGAATGAATTGACACAAGAGACCATTTTCTGAACATAACACTGGTAGCATAGACACTACGATCTACAATTAATAAATGGGACCTCCTGAAACTTAGAAGCTTCTATAAGGCAAAGGATACAGTCAACAAGACAAAAAGGCAACCCACATAATGGGAAAAGATATTCACCAACCCCACATCTGACAGAAGGCTGATCTCTAAAATATACAAAGAACTCAAGAAGCTAGTCACCAAAACCCCCAATAATCCAATTTTAAAATAGAGTACAAATCTAAATACAAATGGCCGGAAGGCACTTAAGAAATTGCTCAACATTCTTAACCATCAGGGAAATGCAAATCAAAACAACTCTGTGATACCATCTTGCACCTGCCAGAATGGCTAAAATCAAAAATACCAATGACAGTTTATTCTGGAGAGAATGTGGAGAAAGGGATCAGCCACTTTGCAAATCAATATGGCAGGTATTTTTTGTTTGTTTATTTGTTTGTTTGTTTTGTTTTGTTTTTTAGGAAAATGGGAATCAGTCTACCTCAAGATCCAGCAATTCCACTCTTAGGCATATAACCAAAAGATGCACAGTCCTACCACAAGGGCAGCTATTTAACTATGTTCATAGCAGCATTATTTGTAATAACCAGAAACTGGAAGTAACCTAGATGTCCCTCAACCAAAGAATGGATATAGGAAATGTGGTAAATTTACACAAGTGGGGGAAAACAAAAACAAAAAAACAATGACATCTTGAAATCCCTAGCCAAATGGATGGAACTAGAAGAAACCATCCTGAGTGAGGTAACCCAGACACAGAAAGTAAAACATGGTATGTACTCACTCATAAGTGTATACTAGACATAGAACAAAAGCTAACCATCCTATAATCCATAACCCCAGAGAAGCTAGAAAACAAGGGGGACTCTAAGAGAGGTATACTTGGACCCCAGGAGAAAGGGAAAGGGACAAGAATTTCTTAGTACATTGGGAACACGATGAGAGGGGCTAGGAGGAGGGGAGTGGGGAGACTTGAGGAAAACATGAGGGACCTGGAAGGTTGAGTTGAGGGAACAACAAAGAAGGAGAGCAAGAAAAGTGATACCTTAATAGAGGGAGCAGTTGTGGGCAATAGTGAAGAGGATACCTTAAATGAGATTGATGACTACCTTAAATGCCATCACAAATCCTTCATCCAGTAGCTAATGGAAGCAGAAGCAGACATTCACAGCTAAACATTGAGCAGAACTCCTGGAATCCAGTTGTAGAGAAGGAGGAGTGATGAGTAAAGGGGTCAAGGCCATGCTGTGGAAACCCACAGAAACAACAGACCTGAGCAAGTAGGATAAATTCTATGGGGCCTCTGGCAGTAACCAGTGTTTATCCCTAGTGCACTAATGGGCTTTGGGAGCTCATTCCCTATGGAGGGATACTCTCTAAGCCTAAATAAATAGGGGAGGGCCTAGGTCCTGCCCCAAATTATGTGACAGACTTTAATGATCCCCCTTGGAGGCCTCACTTTTCCTGAGGAATGGGTAGGGTGTGGAATGGGAATTTGTGGAAGAAATCAGAGAACGGGAGAGAGAAGGAACTGGGATTGGCATGTAAATAAGATTGTTTTTAATTTGAATAAAAATTATTTTAAAAAAGAATAGATAAAATGCATAAGATAATTTTAATTGGCATATAATCATTGTTCATGGCAATGGGTTTTATAAAGGCATGCACTTTGACCATGGTCACCATCTATGCCCTCTCTTTTTTGGGAAAAATAACCTTAAATTTTAACTTGTTAAAGTTAAGACTTTGTTGCACTTACCTGGTCTGAATATGGAAGTTGTTTGTTGTTCCTGTGTGCTCATAATCATGAATGGCAGCTGCAAAAACCATTGCTAAAATTTCCAGTTCAGTGAGCCAGTGCTAGCAAAGGAAGGAAACACCTCATCACATTCAACATCTTTGTCATCATTTCTTTGTATGGGAAAGTCTTCAGTGTGTTCAGAATACACAGTCATAAAATAATGCTGTATTTGTTCCATACATTTCCTCTTTCACTCAGTTAATTATGAATAATGGATGCTTCATTAAATCAATGATTGTTTCATGCTCTGTAAGTTCCAAATTTAAAATCCAAAATGTGATCACCCTTGCTTCTTAGAAAAGGAGTTGTTTTCTATTGTTTGAAAGGTTGACTCTAAATGGATTTTGAAATTGTAAGTTTACTAGTTTGGGGTCTTATGACATAAATTATAATATAGTGGTCTTTTAACATAACCCTCATTAAAATGTATATTTGAATAACTGTTGAAGACCCCATGAAAACAAATTTCCATTTAAATTCAAAATATTCTTTTCAAGAGAGAAACTGAACTTTGTTTTTAGATTTAAGAATATGGAAAAGTTTCTGAAAATTTACTGAGTTTTGTATTTATAGCACATACATTACCATTCTGTGAAACTTGATAATGAAAAAAGGAAAGAATAATTGTTTCCATGTAAAATCCAGGTCCATCTATTTCAAATATATTGAGTTTATTTTTACCAGTTGATTGATGCCATTTATCTACTGCTATACCTTATAGAATAATTCAATGCATTGTTCATCACTCACATTCTGTATAACACACAATAACACAGATGACAACTAAAAATAAATAAAACATAATAGAATTAAATTCACTGCCCCATTTTAGTAGGTATGTTTCCCATGTTCAATGATCACACTGGACAAGTGATTTCACATAGAACAGCTAAGATACAAGACCATCAAAAAATACTCTTTTGGACAGTTCTTCAAGAAGATAGGACTTGCATTAGGAAAAGGGATTCTCCTTTGGGTGTATGCCCAAGAGAAGTAATGCTGAGTCTTAAGGTAGATTAATTCCCAATTTTCTGAGACACTGCCATACTGGTTTTTAAAGTGGCTATACAAGTTTTCACTCCACCAGCAGTGGAGGAATGTTCCCTTACTCTAAATCCTCTCCGACATAGACTATGATCAGTGTTTTTTGTCTTAGCCATTCTGACTCAGCTGTGTTCATAGCAGAATTATTTGTAATAGCCAGAATCTAGCAACAACCTAGATGCCTCTCAATCAAAGAATGAATAAAGAAAATATGGTTCATTCTTCAATGGATTATTACTAAACCGTAAAAAAAAAAAAAAAAAAAAAAAAAAAAGACATTCTGAAATTTGCAGGCAAATGGATGGAACTAGAAAATATCATCCTGAGTGAGGTAACCCAGACCCAGAAAGACAAACACAGTGTGTACTCCCTCATAAGTGGATACTAGATGAAAGCAAAGAATAACTGGACCACAATCCATAGCTCCAGAGAAGCTAGGTAACAAGGAGGACCCTAACAGTGACACATGGATTACCTTAGGAAGGGGAAATAGATGAGATGTCCTGGATAAACTGGGGAAGAGAGTGATAGAGAGGGGATGGAGGATGTGAACATGAAGGAACAGGATAGTCAAGTTGGGAGAAGGATGGATGAGAGAACAATGGAAGAGATTATCTTGATAGAAGGAACCATTATGGGGTCAGGATGATCCTAGTGATAGGGAAATTCCCAGGAATCTACAAGGATGATCTCAGCCAAGATTCCTAACAATAGTGGAGAAGGTGTCTCTACTGTCCTTCCCTTATAATCAGATTGGTGAGTACCTTAACTGTCACATAGAACCTTCATCCAGTAACTGACTGAAGCAGATGCAGAGATCCAGAGCCAAACACCAAGCTGAGCTGCAGGAGTCCAGCTGAAGAGAGGGAGTAGGGATCATATGAGCAAGAGGACCCAAGAATATGATGGTGAAATCCACCGAGACAGCTGACAGAAACTTGCCAGAGTTCATGAACTCTAGACTGATAGCTGGGGAGCCTGCAAGGGATTGAACTAGACCCTCTGTATGTGGATGATAGTTGTGTAGTCTGGTCTGCTTGTACAGACCCTGTCAATGGTACCAGTATCTATCCTTGATGCATGAGCTGGCTTTTTGGAGACTATTCCCTAAGATGGGATGTTTTGCTCAGCCTTGATGCAGCACGGAAGGGCTTGGTTTTGCCTTAACTGAATATGCCAGACTTTGTTGACTTCCCATAGGAGGCCTTACCCTTTCTGAGGAGTGGATGGGGAATGAGTTGGGGCAGGGAGCAGAAGGATGGGAGGCAGGGAGAACTGTGGTTGGTATATAAAATGAATAAAAATTTAAAAAAGGAGAAAGGGGTTCTAACATAAGATAGAGTTTTCTTGTGGACATTTTTCATACATATTAAACACATAATCTACCCCCCATACCCATACACACACATAAACATACATATGCAATACATATATACATATACATGCACATACATTCACACACATTATGTTGTGTATATGTCAGATGAAATGAGGTTGAAAACAGGATGAAAAGTATGAAACAAATTGATGGTCTACTTGGATTAAAACAAATTGAGACTTCATATAAGAAGCAGACAGGAATCACTGAAGGCCTGTGATCAGCAATGGCGGACTCTGAGCTCACGGAGCTGTGTTTCTTTCATAGAACCCACTGCAGACTTTGGCACCTACCAAGAGACTTGAAACTCATCAGTTTTGCATAAGAAGGAAGTAGTGGGGAGCAGTAGAAGAGAGTATATGTGAGTCTCTCTTTGTCACTGGGAAAGTGAGATGTTTACCATCTGAGCTACAGATCTCACTCAAATGGAATTATTGCGTATCCTCTGCGAGCTTCCAAAGTTCAGAGGAAATTTATGTGCTGTTCCTATTAACAAATGAACAAATGCCTTGTTCAATAGTTAAATACAAAGTAAACAACACTTTACTACAGTTATTACTTTGCACTGCAAAGCATTAAATCTAGAAAGATGACACCGGGCATTCCTTAAGTGACTGCAGTGGAGATATGAAAGTTGTGCACACAAGCAATGGCTTTCAGAACTGAAGGGACATAGCTTAAGTAGGTGTTTGGTGCATGCTGACACTCATTTGAGAGGCTTTAAAAGGAAGAAAGCGACTTTACTAATAACCCGTGTTATAGACAGCTGGCACTGAGGCTCCAGAGTTCCCACTGAGACCATGGAACTAGACACAATGAAGTTAGTAGAAATGAAATTAAAACAGTTGGTACCCCAGAGACCCATTGTTTTATTAAAGAATGTTTGTGAGGAAAGAGAATAATCTTTAAGTATCTCTTACTGACTGTATTTATAGATTTAAGTGGTTGGGGAAAAAAGCAGCATTCAATATCTATTGTGATGATATCAAATATAAGGTGGCAAAGTAAATTTAGAGATGGAATTTAATCACAGGCTAGATCATAATTATTTAAAATCACTTTCTTCTAGCTATCAAAAATGATTTAAAATTATTTCCTGATTTTCTCCTAGTTAATCATTGCCTCCCACAAAGAGAAATTTCTTTATGAACTCCACTTAATTATTGTTACAGACCTATTTATTATGTTTATAAGGGAAAATAGTTCAAGAATATACAAATTTTCACATTCAACTGGAAAATATCTTTTTTGTATCAGCAATTTTGCAATGACTGTTAGTTCTTTCATGGCTGATTCACTATTGCTGGTGGTAAATATGTTTGCTAAGGAAACATTTAAATTCATAGATTTCTAAAATAATTCTCGGGGACATATGAGATCAGATCATATCACACTTCCCATCTGGAACAGAACTGAGCCCAACACTGGAACTCTGGGAACTCTGCTGTTTCCAGAAGGGAAGAATCCAATGTTAAAATGATGGACCATGGGCAAAGTAGATTCTGTCTCTCATCTAAACTGTAGACAGTATGTGTCCTAGAGGAGAGTTCAGTCCAATGTATTCTCAAGTGCATGGTCCTTGGGCAATATCAGAAGGAAGTTTTGGCTGCTCCTAAGAACTTACACATCAATAAGGGACAGAAAGGAGCTATAATTGCTGCTAAATGGGCCCTTGAAACAATTCCATTACTTTTATACTTGCCCTATTTTCCATTTAGTAGATAAATATTTGTATCTTTATATTGGCAGATAGTAAATCTGAGCCCTGTGCAACTCAATCAACATGCCAGAGGTCATACAGAGATAAGAACTGGGATTTAAACAAGCAAAAAATGATTGTTTTCTTTTCTTTCTGTGGCCCACAGTAACTTCCATGGCTCCAGACAACTTTTTGTGTTCTAAGCTTTCTAAAAGCAGAACTGACTTACCTGGATATTTTAATGGGCAAAAGCTAACAGAACTCTAATTCTATATTCTCATTTGAATTGCTGTATGTGTATGTGCACATGCGTGATAAAGTATATGTTTGAGCTGGTGAGAATTTCAGATCAGAAATTGGGTTTTGAGTGTTTCAAAAGGACACAATAAATATTGTAGTCCGAAGTGTTAGGGTCAGGAAATTTTTCCCTCCATCTTATTTTTTTTAATAAACTTGAATAGCTTTTTATAATTTAACACAGAAGTATTACATTATGAAAGCTAATAATATACCTATATTAACTGCTGTTTATTTCAGGTACAACGTAAGGTGTTTTATAATGAAACTTAAGGGCTCTTCATGACCAGCCTGTGAAATGGTCAATATTATTAACTCTGTTAAGTGATAAGGAGACCAAAATACAGAGGGAGTGTGTTAGAAGTGGCAGATAATGTTTTCAAAGCTGGTAGCAGCCTCGTAAGCCCACATTCTTTCAAACAGTACTGCTAGGGGAGTCATTACCACAGAGTATGGACTTCCTGTCACATTTTCTGTAGATTGAAGAAAAATGGAGTCATCCCAAAGTGTGGGAATTGGTGTCTGGGTAGTCAGTGAGTTGCAGATTCCAGAGGAAAAACTGCAAGTCACCTCTCTTTCTTCTGCTGAGATCATCAGAGAGAACGAATGGGACCAGCCACCAAGTACAAAAGGCCCTAGAATGACCTTGTATTTAAAGAGACAGTTGGTGGTAGCTTGGCATCAGTCCAAAGAGCAATGGCTCTTTAGCAAATGGATTTTCTGTTCATCACTGTCACCATGGAACAGGTTACAAGTTAATCAAGGGACAAGAGCAGCTAAAGGGTGAGATGGCAGTTGTGCCAGCATCAAGTCCCTGCTTCTCTCTAAGCTGTCAGAACTGAGGGCTTCCCTCTGATGTTAAACCCCTGGAAGCTTCTTCACAATCCCTTTCAGGCTATGTTCCTCAGAACACGGTGCAAGTGACAAATGCATTAGTCACCTGACAGAGTTAGCCAGAAGCTGGAGTGCTCTATAAATGCCACTCTGATAGGGCCATCTCAAAATAGTAGGGAATCAATGTTAAAAGGAGTGACCCAGTCCTTTCCATACCAAATCTCAAGGGTGAGAAAAGACTTTAAGAGATTCAGCTGGTTTTTCTCTGATGAATTTTTGTTTCAAAGACAGAAATGTACATCTGTATGAAAATTAGCATTCACCTAGCACCACGGAAGGAAGCTTATTAAAGCTACTTTCCCAAAACTGTAAGGTGACAATGTGATCTCATTTTGACAAAATACTCAACACATTCATGAATTCATTTCACCTGCAAAAAATTCTATTCCATTGTGAAAATTGTTATTTCTTTTGCTTTAATTAAATGCATTTTATGGATTTTACTCAAATCTAAATTAGGTTTACCAGCAGACTAGTTTTGTAGCGATCAAACTAACCCATGACCCAACTGATATTTTGCAGAAGAATGAGTGAAATTGGAAGCCAATTTTTTTTTGGAAAGAAAGCATTTGTGGCTTTCTCAAGAGTGACTCTGACCTGCACTAATGGTTCATTTTCTTGGTATTATGCAAGGAAGCAGGGATGTGGGCTGAGATTTCCCAGGCTTCAAGACAACATAAAAGGGCTTCAGATGCACTCAACAAAATCTTCCCTGTCAATCCTAGGGTAAAGTCACAGGGTGGATTTGAATTTCTCTGGTTGTCCACTAATGTGACAACTTACATCTTTCAGTGTACCTTTGGACTTGAGATTATCAGGATAAAAGAGGACATATTTATTTGGTCCCTGTATCCTTTTAGTAAACAAAAGAAAACAACAAAATGTGTAAAAAATATTGTAAGATAATGAAATTCTGATTGTCATATCACATTTTTTTTTCAATTTGCTTCACAATTGAGCAGCTGTCGAATTAGAAGTAGGCGTTACATCTTCACTCCTTCCTCAGAAAACTAACCAGTTCACTTTCTACTTACAGTGTGATTTAAATAAATCTTTCTTTTGTGTTATTGTTCGGTTAATTTTTTAAAATGACTAAGTTCAGGAAAAAGGGAGTGCCAAACATTTGAAAGAAAAATCAGCTCACCATTGGAGTTAGGGCAGAGGCGTCAGAAATCAAAAGGCAAGTAGAGATTCCCCAAGGCACTGTGTCCCACAGAGGGGCACTTACTGCTGGGGAGATCCTTGTGTCCATTTGGTAGGCATGCACACTAAGGCAGGTGAAAGCAGAGTAGTCCAGAGAGAACTGAGACAATGCAGCCTCATTAAACCAAAGGAATTTGAGGAAACTTAGATGTTGCATAGGGGCGCTCATTCATGCATGCACAAATAGAAAGGGAAGCAAAGAATAGCAAAGAATCCCAAAAATACTTCTTTTAGGGCAGTTTTTTGAAAGGACTGCTTTGTCATAGAGTGGGTATTTCTCCAGTGTAGTGAAAATTTAAAATGTCCCTTTAGTACCAGCCTGAGCTTCCACCCACCAGCCATATCAACAACCAGTCACAAGAGTGATACTCTTTGTGGAATGTCCTCAGATGTCTCCAGCCATTGTTGCTAGCCAGCTACAATCACATGAGAGACCTCTAGTGAAAGCCTCCTCTCTAGGACCTCAGGCCCTTTGAGAGAAAATAACATGCTGTTGTTTTAAGCTGCTACATTCTTTTTTTTTTTTTAAGCAACCAGATAATGTGGAATGCAGGATAGTCGAGGGATCTGAAACCAGGGCATTGGCAGTTTAGGAGAAAAGGAAAACAAGGACTAAAAATTATTTAGTCAATGTATGAGGCACTGTATGATGAACCCTTGTGAATTCGTAGCAATTAACATAATTAATTGTGGTGGGGGGGTAGAGAAAGCAACTATGATGACAATTTTCTGCATTAGAATCTTAGAAAATCATGTACCAGCTACAAGTTGCCAAGCTCTTTGGGACTCTATATTAAAGCCCCAGGGTATTTTCTTGGAACCCTAACCCTAACTGATGCAGGCAGAGTGAGGAGGTCAATTGAGAGTAGCTGATGGGTCCTAAGGGTACAGCAGAATAGGGGGGTAGTTCTCAGAAACTACATTCCTGATATGCTGACTTCCAATTCTGAGAAGAATTGTAACCCTAAGAACTTAGCTCAAATAAATGCCACTTGCAGAAATTAATGACATGTCATCCAGGATTGACACATGAGAAATGGAGAGGGCACAGGACATGAGGATGTCATGTGACCACTCCTCACTGCCCACCTTCTTTTGTTTCTTCCAGTCATTCTGAGCTCGAAGACACTACAGAAATTCCTACATCTCACCATCCTCCATTACTGTAATGCTAATAATGTTTACTTTATTGAATTTTTTTGTTCATTCATTCATTAACTCAGAAAAGAATGTCAAGAAGAGGTCGCATAAATAATTTCCCCAACTCCCTGTAAGGGTGTGTCTGTGATTAGCATTGTAAGTACCAAAGGAACAAAGACCTGAAGATAGGGGAGCTAGAAGTGGTTGGTCTAGGAAAGAATATTTACCCTTAACATATTCTGAATACTTTCCCTCTAGGTCAATTATTTTACTTTTTGGTGGATTCCTGTAAGAATAAAGAATTTACACAGAAGGAATGCAGAAACAACTACTCTTAAACATAGCAGGCTGCAAGGCCAGCAGTAGATGGCCAACAGAAAATGTACTCAATGGTACCTTTGCAGGTTCCTTGTCTCATAACGTATGTCAGGGCTTTATTCATTTTTATTTTTAAAATTTTTATCTTATTTATATGTAATTTCTCTCTCTTGTTTTTTTTTTTTTTTCTATCCTTCAGATCCTTTGTATATATATTATGGTCTCCAGTTAATTGTTTTTATGGATTTCTGAGTGTGCAAATAAAAATGTCTCTGTATCTAGATCTGTTTCTTGTACCTTTTCTTGGGCTTTTATTGTCCTTTTCCAATGTGTTAGGTTTTGCTTTATCATGTTTTATTTTGCTATTACCTTTAGAAGATTTGTTTTCTACTGAGAGGCAGAGCAGGGATGGATCCATTGGGGAGACAATAGGGTGGGAAGGAACTGAGAGGAGTAGGGGGAGGGAAAGCCATAGTCAAGATATATTATGTGAGAAAAAATATCTATATTCTATTTCATAAGAAGATCTGTATTAGTTTGTTACGTAAAAATATCTCAATCTAAACAACCTGCTGACCGTATGAAATAAAGGGAAAAGAGAGAAGAATCACTAACCATCTACATATGACTATCAGTGATCAAACAGAGGAGAAAGCTAAGAGATGAGCAGTCCTTGGAGGCCATAAGCTTTATAATTAATCATATTACTACATTTGCATGCCAACTGTATACCAACTCTGACATTGCCTAGTTAGACTAGACAAACTCTCTCTCTGGTGCTAGAACCATCTAAATGACCAACCACTTACTATCCTCCCAGTTTGGCTTGTCACAAGATTCTCAGTCAGTAGTAATAATCAAGTCACTGTGAGAAGCAGTTTCAAAATCAATTTTCAATAAAAGAAAAATAGTACAAACAAAAAATAAAGAATGTTCTAGAGTTCAAATTTTAGAAAACTATTATATTAAATATTTTCTAAATGACTTTTAAGTATGTTTTCTTCTACAGAATTTAAATATTTTCTCAAAAACTGTACAACTAATTTGTAAACACCCAGTGATTATTGCATGTATGCTAGTTTCACATATGGTGTTGTACAAATGTTTGTCTATGGCACTATAGACAAGAGGAACACAAGAGAATAGTGTTTTGTTTCTATGCCAACATACTTTATTTATAAAGCATTTCTTACCATGATACCTGTATGAAGCATTATGTAATGCACAGTTTGAGTGACATCAGCTGCATGAACCAAATTATGATATGGATTTTTGTGCTTGCTGTAACCAACTTCTAAAGCTTCTGCAAAGGCAATTAGGCAAGAAACAGGAATCTGTGGAAAGTAATACTTATGATTATATTTTGGCTTAAACTGTTATGCTACATAAACATGAGCACATTATTTGGAAATGGAACAAATTAATGAGTCAAATATGGGAAGTAATTTCAGGTTCAGTGTGATTAGTCTTGAAAAAAACTACATTATTGATACATTAGCTTGCAATTTGAAGGACTATAACACAATTGAAATAGCTTATACCATATGGCTCTGAATTTTTATGTCTTCCACAGTCAAGAAAAAAGGGTAGTTCTTAAAAGTATAAAATGTTCCAATATAAGCCACAAGGTCTAGTTTTCCTGTCTGTAAGAAAAAAAAAAAAAAAAACTGGTGGCTTCTAAGTTCTTTCCAGCCTTTCCAGTGCTATGAGCCCCAAGCAAATGTAAATTAGAGCCTCAGGCCACTCAGAAATCTGAATCAAATCTGTTGCTTAGATGCTTCTAAGTGAAACCAATTGGAAGATACATTTTTTTCAGTCTGAGAAAAAGCTCCCAGTAAGTTAGATATGGTGGTGGAATACTGAGATCCCAGAACCCCTGTGGTGAATCAAGAAGATGGAGTGTTCAAAACTAGCCTGTGCTACCTGGCAAATTCAAGGCTACCTTGGGCTACATAGAAAGATCATGCCACAAATTTAAGATAAGGAACCTAGAATCTATTGCACTTCTTCAAATCATGGTTTCTGTCCCGATAGGATTCTGTGAAGAATCCAAGGGGTTCCTGTTGGGTTAAACTTTCCAGTCTCATGATGCACAGACAGACATGCAGTGAGTTGTGATTTCATCAGAGGGTGAGCACATACCCTTAATCTGTGACCTGATAAATCAATCTAAAGGCATTGATCAATGACTCAGTGTGTTATGCTGTCATTGTTATTCAGATAACCAGCTCACTGCTGAAGTTTCTGACCTTGAAGCGGTTGATAAGATCATATCTGGTAAACAGTTCATAAATCATAAACTTGAGACTATGCTCCCCGCTTGCTTCATTTAAGGCAAATACGTCAAAAGACCATTTATCAACATCCTGTAGAAAAAGAGTCAATATTTTAGATGGCAATAGTATATAATTATGCAACTTCTCATGGAAAATTATTTAACAAATTAAGCACTGAGCATGCAACAGGTAACACTGCAGCAGAACATGTTAAATTACATTCTACTGGAGTGTGATGTGACAGGGCTTTGGAAGTGAAGCTGACATGGATAATATAGCACCAAAGCTTTTCCCTCAAGTCCCAGGGTTATGAAGCTGATGTAATAAACTTGGGAACAGTCTAATGCAGCCCTCATCTTTCCGCTCTCTGACTTCCTGCCATAAATCATATCCTAGGATAGCTGGCTCCATTTTAAGGCAGAAGAGCTGGTGTATAGGTGATGTCAATTGAGGGATAGAGGGAAAATAGTGCTGGCCTTTGTTTCTACTCATCCACCCACTGGCTTCTTTGTTCAGCATTTCAACCTAAAGAATCAGTAAGTTGGCTTCAAGCACTGATATTATCTGTCTTCTTTTGGGAGGTAAATTCCAGAGCAAAGTAGACCGAGGTTCACTCATAGATTCCTCCCAAGACAGTGAGAACAAGGAGTGGGTCATTTGCAGGAGAAAGCAGTCAGTAGCTTTGCCATTTCATACACTTTTGCGGGGGATGTAGGCAGGTTTATAGGGGAACAGGTAACACTGGGTATGTATTCCTTCAGTGGCCTTGGGAGCAGTAAGTAGGGCTAACCGGCCACCACAGTCACCATACTGTTTTGTTGAAGAAAACTTAAAAAGAGTGCATTATTCTGTTCTGAAGTAGATTCTGGCTGTCAGTAAAGAGCTCCTGGTGAACACACACACACACACACACACACACACACACACACACACACACAGAGAGAGAGAGAGAGAGAGAGAGAGAGAGAGAGAGAGAGAGAGAGACTCAGTGTTAGATAGTAAGAGGACAACTTAAAGCAGTGATTAATTTTGTATGTGTGTCAATTCCATTCATAGTTTCCATCCCATAGTTGCTATGGGAACCAACCTTAACTGCTGTGAAATGCTGAAGTTAAATCAGACATCTGATGAAGCCTCTTTAAAGATGTGTTCTGGGAAAGATGATAGTGCTAGCTTCCAATGGTACTTTAAAAGGCTTTGTCATTTATGTGTGGGGCTCTTTCAGGCTTTCCCATGCATATGGAGGTCAGAGGACAGCTTTGCCCAGCAGTTTCTCTGCTTCCATCTTTTTTTTTTTAATAATTTTTTAAATTTAAATTTGAAATGACCTTGTTTTACATGTCAATCCCAGTTGCCACACCCTCCCATCCTCCCCTGCCCCCCCCCAACTCCCATCCCATCCCCTTTCTGCTCCCCAGGGAGCAGACTTCTATGGGGAGTCTTCAAAGTCTGTCCTCCCATCTTTAAGTGGGTCCCAGATATTTAACTCAGATCACCAGGCTTTGGGGGCAAACTCCTTTACCCACTGAACCATCCTGCCAGCCTTTTGTAATCACTTAGAATCAAACACCAATTAAGTATGTGTTTACTTGCATGCAATTGTTTAATTCCTCCCATTGGCTCCAATATGATGCCTAATCACTCACTTTTATCTCTTCGTAAATTAAAAATCTAAAATTCTTGTTAGAAGGTGTTTTAGGATTGCTAAAGCTCAAAGGAGGCCAATAAATCTCTCATTAAATTCCAAAGCTAACAAAGAAGAGCTGGTTCATACTTTCAAGGCTTCAGGTTAGAGGCTGGGCTAAGGGTTCCTGCTGGGAAAATGAGGATCTTTACAGGCAATGATTTGCACTTGTCACCTGCCACAGATGTTTAGCACCCATGCTGTCAGACTGTCGTGGGGGATTTTCAGAATGCACATTCACTAAAATGCTCTTTACTCAGTGATGTTTACTCCCCAACCTTACACTTCATATGGTTTCAATCAAGTATATTGTACAATCAACTATCTTCTGTCCTTATGCCAAAATATTTTAGTTGTTTTTATGCAAATAATTTTACAATGAATAACAACAACAACAGAAACTGTTTTGTTGCATTGAGTTGAAGAAACAATGAGGATGGCAAAAATCTTTCAAAAATAGAGCAGTTAACATATTAATGTAGCACTAAAGTTACATGTTTGTGTTTATTCTAGTTTTGGAAACATAAATATACATTAAAAAGCTTCATGAAAAAATTAAGTCTTTTAAAATTAACATTTAAATCCAGTGTGCAGGTTAAGGTTTTTGTTTATAGTTAAAGAATAAGTTGATGTTTGTCCTGGGTTAAGTCCTTGCAAGTTAATGTTGCTATTTGTAATTAAGAATAAGTTCCCGTTCCTTAGATCTGATATAAACTGCAAAATATGTTTTCAATCTACCTAAGCTTGTGACCGCATTTTCATGATTTATAGCCTTACCCTTCCATGTCCCCCTTTTTTTTTTCATTGTATCTTTCTAACTTTCCAGGGCTGACAAAAGACAGAATCTCTTGATTAATACAAGAATATCACCATAAGGTTCTTTTAGAAGACAAAGTTGAGTGCTCAAAACCATTAAAAGACAGGAAAGGAAGGAAGGAAGGAAGGAAGGAAGGAAGGAAGGAAGGAAGGAAGGAAGAAAGGAAGACAGGACTTAGAATGAACAACCTATAAGACTTTCCTGAAGAAAAACAATTGGGAGCAAGGCACACCTGTGTGTTTCATGCCCCATGTGTAAGATGGAGATGTGAGAGCAAGGCACACCTGTGTGTTACATGTCCCACGTGTAAGATGGAGATGTGTGAGTCAGCAGCTTCCCGAGACAGATTCTCACTTCTATTCATTTCCTGCACACACAACATTGCAATCACACATGGAACACAAGCCAGGCATTCTCAAGAGGAGCCAGACACAAGACAGAAAAATTAATTTATTATTGGTTAGTTTCTTTATCAGTTTTATACTTTCTCAGACTTAACATCTTGAATAAATTTTCTTCTTTATGTTTTGTTACTAGGCACACACTGAAATACCTTTTTAAAAACATAATATAAATGTAAGAAGATGTGTGTATTTTCAAAATGATGCTGTCTCCACGTGGAATTCAATATCCAAGTAAGTAAATCTTGGAGGAAGAGTTCTTACACTCATGTGACCATGGAAGGGTGATGATAGGCACTGATTGTCACAAGTCACGTAGATGTCATGTAACTCTAGGCTGAATCAAGGCTTTGGGTAGCTTTCCATTTAACAAATGCTTAAAAAAATTTTTATATAGTAATATGTATGGTGCAGCAAAGACCTGCTCTCATTTTTCTCTCAGTCAATTGAGAAAAAAGAAATACATGTGATTATTTTACAAAGGAAAACAACTGGAATTGTTTTACCTTGAGTGTCACTATGACAGCTGCAGGGTATGCCAAACCAACCATGTGATAACTCTTCCTGTACATCCTAAAAAAGACAGAATAATTGCATAGTCAAGGTTCACCTGCTTAACAGTTTCAACTAATCTCTCAACTATCAGGTAAAGACAACTCCAGAGTTCTTCACTTTGTACCCACACTGTGACAAAGTTGATAATAGCCATTATTTCTTTGGGTGACAGTGGGTATAGCATTATTTACTCATAGCAACTCTGAGAAGTTATCTTAGTTTCCAAGAAAGGAGAGCTTTTCCTGAACTTCATACAATTAACAGGTCAACTGTGCTTTCCCTGGCCTCTGACACTTTCCTGTAGGCCACCCTGTCTGTGACAGCAGAATATTATTGTTTTGTGTTCATTTGGGTACCAAAAGTTTTACATTGGAGCTGAGTAGCATGAACATGCTTCCAATTTAGATTGATTCATCTATATTTATGTGTTTCAGAATGGCCACAGAGGGAAATAGCACCATCAGAATTTACACAGCTATTTGTTAAGGATATTATAAAAGGTTATATTGACAAAGATAACTCAAGACTGTTCAAATTGATGTCCAATATTATTTAAGAAAGATTATTCTGAGAAAATGTTCTCTCTAGGTCCATAATAATACAACAGCAGTATACTGTTTTTTGTCTTTTGTTTTTGTAACTTGTTTGTTCTGAAAACACATATCACATATCAGGTAGAGTCTAGTCAAGAAGAGCTTACCACAGATAAAAGCAAACAGTCTCTGTTGGGAGTGACTATACCAAGGTTCTAGAAAGACATGGTTCAAGTATCAGCTATCTCTTGCTTTTTATATCCAAATGGAACACTACAAGGTGCATTCCTTAGACTACATTGCTATGACTCTTTCCCTCCCCAGAATATAAGGAAATCACTACAGTTTGATTAAATATGACAGATATGGCCAATACTGGAAATAATCAAGGGAAAGCTGGGCAATGGGCCACATGCCTTTAATCCCAGGACTCAGGAGACAGAGGCAGGCCAATCTCTGAGTTTAAGGCCAGCCTGGACTACAAAGGGAGTTTCAGCAGGACAACAAGGGCTACACGGGGAGAACCTATCTTAAAACAAAACAAAACAAACAAACAAAAAAAAAAAAAAAAGAAGAAGAAGAAGGGAGGAGGGAGGGAGTGAGGGAACAGTCAAACTGAAAATATTCTGATTTTTTTAAAAATGAAAATCACTGTGGAAGCATGAAAATACTTTTGAATCCATGGTCTATGAATTAAAAATCCAGAAAAGACATTGCTGTAAAAAATAATAGGAAAAAAAAACAAATAATTTATCGTGCTTTCCTTTGAAATATTGGCTTAGTGGGAGCTTGGAATTGAAAATGTGTTTAATTATGTGTTTAGCCTACTCTTGAAAAATTGTCTCCTGTTTGAGTACAGAAACTCTGGAACTTTACTTTTCTGATTTCATGTTTACTTTACATAATCATGGTGTTTTCAGAAGTGGGTGATCAGTATAGCAACAAACTTCTTTACTGAAGGACCTCAGGAGAGTAAACAATGAAAAGGCTTATCCCTGTGGAGATAATTACTACAATCCTGCCGAGCAAGGAAAGTGTAATCGCACAACAAAGGATCCAGAAAACATTTTCCTTTAATAAAGAGATGGAGTTGTGGATTCTGAGGAAACAATCTTTATCTTGCTTTTTTTTTTTTTCTATCATTATCGTGAATAAAAGAGAGTTGGGGTGAGAAGCAGCAACGAACAGGAAAATGATCAACATAAAAGCTAATAAGGATCTTGTCAGCATTATCAAATCAGTATGATTTCCTGCCACAGGAGGGAATGGAGGCAGGGGACACATAAAGGGCCTATGCTTTGAATCATAAGTTACCCACTTGGTAGCCATGTGACGTTTGGAACAATCTTTAATAGTTCACTTATAAAAGGAGAATCACAAACTTTCTGTGAAAAGTAAAGAAGTAAGTACTGGATACAATCTAATAAATACCCAACTGAAGAGAGCACTCACTGCTCTTACCATACTTCATTATGTCCCAGACAGTTCTGTTGGTTCCAGCTCTCACATAACCCAGAGCTCCCTGGGCCCAGTGGCTGCTCTGAAATCACAGTTTCCTAGACTGGGAAATGGGCTGTGAACCTGAGTATTACTTATTATATGGAATGAAAAGAGACAAAGATGATTGTCCTTGTAAAGTAATTAAAAAAACATTTCTGTATTATTTTACCATTCCTAATCCTATCATTAGGGATATAAATATTAAATTATAAATTTTCTGTTATAGTAAATAAAAAGGATAATCAACACAACTGTTCCAAAAATGTGAGCGAGTGCAGGTGTCTTCTTGCAGTTGCCTTATGTCTCATTAACCTGGTAATGTGCTATACAGATCTGAAAAAGACTGATAAGTGTCCTGGAATCCAATAGGTGACAAAGTCCAAGTGAAATTATAAGGGATTATTTTTGAAGACTTACCCAAAACTATGAAATATAATTCCTATCCTTAAAAGAAACAAAGAGAAGCAATCTTACTCTCATCACTACCCCAGATAACATTTGAACAAATAATTGCCAGGATCTTCTGAGGTGTTGAGTCTTGGGCAAGAGGCTTTGCTGAGGAAGCAACACGACTTATATTTCCAGGACTGAAGGTAATTACTTTTGAAAATTCAAGATGTTTAATATCAATAATTGGAGTTTCATAATTGATAGATTAAAAATTTTATTTCTAAGCATGTTAATTTGCAATAGTTAAAATTTCATGTTAGTTACCTTCTGTACATTTTGATATTTCTATTTGGAAAGCAGATTGAATTTGTACCAGGTCAATACATGAATGCTGAATTCATAACCTTGTCTTAAGTAGATGCACATTCAGTTGGATATCTCACTCACAGTTTGCACTGGTTTTCAGCTCACCAAGTTTGCAGAATTTTTCACAAGGAAGATAACTTACATTCTCTCAGCAAGCATTCATCTGAGACTCTCTGAAACAACGCTTAGATGTTTTTTAATTTGATGCCATGGGAAATCAACAATACTTGTACAAAAGGACACTCTCCTCAGCCCAGCCTCCTTGCTTCAGACTTCTGTTAGAGTAAGTCTATATACCAGACAAGGTGGTACCCTAACACTAACTAGAATATCGATAGTATGTTTTTTTTTTTTTAACCTAAGCCAATCAGATGTGGCTGAGAAGCTAGCAAAGTAATTTGAATAATAACTCACTAGTTGTGCTTTGGGGTTATATACTCATGAAATAAGCCATTGGAAGTATTATCATGGTCCTAACATGTCTTTAAACTGAATTTGCAATAGCACTCTTGCTATACTTTCTTTCTTCCTTAATATTTTGAAAACCCAGTATCCTTTCCATTGTTCCATTGGTTGGAAGCAATGCTCCAAAATATGGAAAGATGAAAACAATGGCCAGAATTCACTTAAATGTAAAGGGTGCTGGGGTTGAGCATCGTGACGTAAACCTGTAGTTCTTACTCTGCAGAAACTTGAAAAAGGAGAATTAAAATTTCAGAGCCAGCCTGACATAATCAATCATGATCTCAAAAACAGTGCCCTGAAGCAATGTTAATATTTTTTAAACTGACCAGACTGAAGGACAAATTATATTAAAATTGCTTCTTTACATGTAACTTGATACATTCCCTTTTAACCTGAGGAAATCCTGATAAATGCCTCTCAGTTTTGCCAGAGATGTTAATACTTGGTAATTCTGAAACATCTCATTTTATGGAAAGAAAAGTAGCTTTTTCTCTTAAATACTAAAATAATAACACATGCGGTACTTGGCCATGTTAATATGTGTAAATGTGGAAAACTATGGTGACCCCCATAGTGTTGGGATCTTCTTTCAGTAACACAAATGCTAAAACCTAAGTTCTCCAAAGTGGAATTGAGACAGATCTCATCTCATGATAGAAACAGAGAAAGAAGGAAGCCGTTTCTATTTAGAACAACAACAACAGAAGACTCACTTGACTTTGAAATGTAGATTATTGTCCACTATAGGATTTAGTCTGTGAGTTATTGTATTTGTTTACATAAAATGTATAACTGAAGATAAATGAATTATATATAAACTGTTATCTATAGTTATCTATAAGGTATGTTTCCAAAGGGGTATGATTCCAGTCTCCCTGTTGGCCTCATAAACATAAAAGGAAAACATCCAAGACAGTGTTTTTTTTTTTTTTTTTTTTTTTTTTTGCTCATGTTCATCACCAGTCTAAGCTGACCATGCTACTTAGATTGGTGATGGTGAGTGTCCCCCACAGGTGGAATATGGACCTTTAGAACTTTGATGGACTAAACACTCTTGCTGACTTTCAGATTCCCTTTCCTTGGGATGCGAACCATGCTGCTTACCTTTCCACGAAAATTCCAGCCTGAACAGCATGGACAATGCTTCGAAACTTTGGCTTTTCCTCCGGTTTCTTTTTCATCATCCCCATTTTCCGTGTGAAGGTAGAAGCCAACCAATCCCGGACTTCAGATGGTACTGAGTCTGTCTGAATGTCACTGAGCTCATCTTCAGTGTCCAGAAGTCTTCTACAAAGACATACAGGGGTAAACACTGGAAAGGCGAACAAAGACTAACAAGGAAACAAACATTGCAATGTTTTCTTCGTTTCTTTTTTTTTTTTTTTATAACAACACATTATTCTCTAATTATTCCTTAACAGGAACTATCTATAAGAATTGAGTTAACATTTGGAAAGCTCTTAAGTTTTCAAGCTGATCACTTGCTGGAGGCATCAAATAATACATGGTAGCATCTGCTGCTTCCCAAATATTGAAGAACAATGTTAGCAGTGGTTAAGTATCAGTTATCAATCTCATTAATATGCCATTCTAATGGTGATTAAAACAAAGAAAGATGGAAAGAAAATTCATAAATAAGTGTGTGTTATTGAGGAAGCAAGTATTTCAAGAAGAGAGGCTGGGGCTATAAAAACTCATGTTTAATTTTTCTACGTAGTACAGATAGTACAGCTATTTGAGTTTTTGATGGTTGCAAAAGTCATTTAAATGTGCTATTTTAATGAATTAGTTTTTCTAAATTAATGAAATAACTTAAGAATTCTAAAATAACCTTCTAACAATATCATTATAGATTTTAAAATAGTAAAAACAATCAATCAAACAAACAAACAAACAAAAAAAAAAAACAAGGAAAAACTGTAAGAGAAGAATGAACCAAAGCCAGTGAGATGGCTCAGCAGGTAAAGGACTGGCCTTGAAAACTTGAAGACCTGAGTTAAATCTCCAGAGCCAGTGTGGAAACAGAGAAGAGACTCCTGAAAACTGTGCTCAGACTAAGCTTCATGTTTGTATTGCATCATTCAAGCACACACACACACACACACACACACACACACACACACACACACCATATACATTCATAAAAGCAGTAGTAATTTTTAAGATAAAGATAAATGCTTGGAGTTGTCTCTTAGTATCCATGGGGAATTAAGGATTATCTCTTACCCCTAGGGATGTCCAGATCCTCAAATGTTCAAGTCCTATTTACATAATATCAAGTTATTTGTGTGTAACCTATGAGCTTTCTCATGATTAGCTTAAATAAGTTCTACATTTCATATATTTCCTAATAAAATGTACATGCCTTGTGTATGTGTGTGTGTGTGCGTGCGTGCATGTGTGTGTTTGTGTGTGTGTGTGTGTGTTTGTGTGTGTGTGTGTGTGTGTGTGTGTGTGATTCTGTGTTATTTAGGGATGACAAAAAATGATTGTACACATTCAGTCCAGAAGGAATTTCTTTTCCTGAACACTTTTAATACCAAGTTGTTTGAACCCACAGCAATTGTGTGCAGGGATGACAAGGGCTATGTTGAAAGCTCATTTCAGGAGACTAGCCTCTCTAAGCAGGAGGAACACTGCCAGTCAAGAGATCGTGTTAACAGGAGGGTGAAGATTTCATGGGCTTAGACCCAAGTGTCCCAGCACTTGGGAGGCTAAGGCTCCTGATGTCAAGTTTGAGGCCAACCTGGGCCAGCTCTAGATGAAATCTTGTCTCTTCAAAGCCAAAGCGACACAGAGGACTGCTAGCCAAGGACATCAACAGAGTTTTACAGAGACAGTGCAAATTAACTTTTGGGAAGTGATATGGACTGGTTGCTAAGAAGCCATAGCTGCCACAAAGGAGGGTGCTGAGGAAACATCCTGCCTGTAAGCATGTCAGAGTCTATAACTGAGAACTTCCTAATGACTTGAACTGTAAATAATAAAGGAAAGATTTCCCAGTAGATACCAACTCTGCTACACATAGAAAGTCTACTCCATCTACAGAACGCAAACTAGATTGTCCTGTCATCTGAACCGACAGTTTCCTGGAAAGTACACCAGATCAATAATCCTTGGCATACTGTCTTTGACCTTTGTGTTTGTGTTGCTCTCTTCTATACACATACACAATATTTAGCTTTATGATATTAAGTAAGTACAAATGTATTTATGAAACACCTTAGTCAAAATAAACACTACTTAAATGCTGGAATTTCAAAACTATATGTACACATAAGACAAAAGACATACAGTTGAATATTCATGCTGATAAATACTCACTTTGTGATTTTTTTAAGTTTCTTTTGCTTCTTGTGTTTGAATGAGTATGATTTAACACTAGACAACTGATAATCTAATTCAAAGTAAATTTTTTTTATGGCTCTTTTGCCCATTTCAAGTTGTATTCCTTAGCCCATTTTAGCATAATATTATAATGCATGCCTTGAAATTTTCATTACTTAAAGATTATGCTATTTCTATTATAGTGATCATCTAAAACTACAGAGCAGGGCAGGTGGAACAGGAACCATTGTGGTGTAACGCTGTGATGTCACCACGTTCCTTGCATTCTCCTCTCCCTATTCTTATCAGCTTACCGAAACAGAACACCAGGTGGGTGGTAACTATTGCCCAGTTTTCCACCAGAAATTTATGTTGGGGATTTGAAGGCTGTATATTCTAAACTCACAAACTGCCCAAGACAAATGGCTAAACAAGACAAAATTGGTGTAAAGACATAGTAATCATTACTGGGGTGTGTTACTCAGAAGTCTGGTAATTTGTAGTTAGTATGTATGCAAATCTTCTTTGAGAAAGAGCATGTGGTTTCACCGAAAAAAAGAATGATCTATATTTATTAAAGAATGGAGGAATCAAGGAAGTGAATGTCAAAAGAGAAAAACATAAGCTACACCATTATATACAGAAAAGACAAATCTTGAAACAGCAATGGATACTTCTCTAGTGGCTCAATTGGTAAGGCAATGGTGGGGGAATATGATGTTTAGTTATGTATTTAAATGATGGTCTAGGTATTTTTATGAAGGTATTTTTTAATATGTGAAGATGGAGCAAAGTAAATTATTCTTCAAAATATGGATAGTCTTCATCAAATCAGTTGAAAGCCTTAAAGAAAATAATGGATTTACCTTAAAGAGAAAATTCTGAGTTGGAATGACTTCCAGATTCAAAATATTATCAATTTTTAGCTTGCCAGGCTACCTTGATCATAAGGTAGTCTTTAAAACATGCTTCCTTGCCTCTCTCTTGTATGAACAACATGGAGTAACTACCAGTGTAAATTAGGCAGATACAGACCTATATTTATTTCTAAAAGCATATTGTTCCTAGTTCTGGTCTTAATATATAAAGAAAATCTTATCTAAAATAAACATTTAAACACCATATTCTTGAAATGTGTCAAAATTATTGTTAACCTGTAAAATGAAGAAAAACTGAAAATTTCTGGGAATGATGTTGTAGACCTTAAATTCCAGGACTAAAGAGGCAGAGCCGGGGGGGGGGGGGGGGCGGGTCTATGTGATTTCAAGGCCAGTCTGTCTACATAAAGAGTTTTATGCAAAGCAGGGCTACATAGAAAGATCTTATCTCAACTTTTTTTTTTTAAAGCTGGGCAGTGGTGGTGCATGCTTTTAATTTCAGCACCAGGGAAGCAGAGACAGGAGAATCTCTGTGAGTTTGAGGCCAGCCAGCCTTGTCTACAAAGATACACAGGGAAACCCTGTCTCAAAAATGATTTTTAAAACATAGCCTGGTCCTTCTTTGTATAAACTTGTATTTCAAGGGGGAAAGGACTAAATAGAGAAGATAAGGAGGTAATTTTGACGGGAAACACTTCTATGGATAAGGTCTTCAGGAGTGGTATCATAAGACCCAAAGAACAAAAATAAAATTAAAAATTGTGAAACCTAAGAGAAGGCCATTGCATCCAGATGGAAGTGGATATACAAACCCCCCGAGGAAAGCAGGATAGCAAAATATTTGAGAGCAGAGACAAGGCCAAAGGTGGCTAATGGGCACCAGAAGAATTGGGTTGAATTTACAGGAAGAGTTAACAAATATCTTCATGTCTCTGACACTTGTTCATTAATGGCCTCATTCCATTCCTTTTCTTCTTTATTCCATCGGTCCATCCCTATCATCTTTATCCTTATAATAGTAGTTTTGTATGTAGTCTATATTGGTTCTTTGTTTTTATAGTTTTTAATATGTAATTGTTCATTTTAACAAGAGTATGTCCTACTGAGTCAGAAAGTTGAAGGGAAGGACTAGGTGATGAGTGCAGCACACAAGAAAGAAACTAGATGTGTCAGGATGTGTTCAGTCAGAACGTGGAAGAAATGTCTTAAATTTCCTTTTCCTTCAGCTGAACACAATAAGAGACTATGGGTCTGCTCCCCAACAATATTTCTAGTCTACAAATGGCCTATATGTCTACATCTATCATGCCTCTACTGCCTCCATTGCACTAGTCTGTGGGATGGAGGAGTTGCCATAGTCAGCCACTATTCCTTCACACTTTTACTGTGGGCAAAGAGTGGTTGTTTTCTTCTATTAGAGTTAAGAGTCATGCTATAGAGAACTGTGCTCTGCTGTGCCTGTCAAATGACTGAACTCTAGACTAAAACTTTTAATATTCCCATCCTCATCTCCCCAAAGAATTATCACTCATAACAGTTTAGTATGTGTTGCTAAATATTTTCTAGTCATTTGTTGGGCATATGTCGATCCCGGGGCTGTGTCTTGCACCAGCTTAGGTGTGGGCCATACAATAGTACATAAAACCAAAGTAATTCTGCTCTCATTGTCTTTTCAGCCTTTTACATTAGACAACGATCATTAAATCAGTAAACAAGTGAGTAACCAGTCAAGAATAATTGAGTTGAGGGAAGTACTAAGATGAAGACTATTCTTGGAGTAAATAGTACAAAAAACAAAAACAGAAGGATTGTGAGTTCTGGAGTCTGGGGTTTTCTACAATTCTGATATCTATTTCTCCTCACTTTCAGCTTTCTCCTTCTTTTGTATTCACCCTTCTCGCAATCTTCCTTGTATTTACCTCCTCCTGCTACCACCCATTGAATTTTGATGTTTTTCTGATCAACCTTGATAGAGCAGACACCAATATCATAATATAATATGAACTACCATCTTCAGAATTTTATAGACAGTTATCATAAACACTTTTCAAATGTGGAAATATCTAAATATTTGCAGAAGTT